TTTTTGCTACACATGCCAGAAGTGATTGGGGCCCTTCAAAGCACTGAAACAATGTTGTGTATTCATGAGTGCCACCTGCTGGCACCTTCTCCATTAATATTTCCAAAGTCACTTAATGGAGTGTGGAGTTTTCCAGATCCAGAGCACACAGGTACCATTGGCTCCTATCCCCTTCATAGCAGGGGGAAAATTCTGTGCCTTCTTCAATATCCCAAACTTTCTGGTCTCATCAGCTGCTGCAAATAAATCAGGCAGATCCATTCTATAATCTGCTACACTAATTGTTTAAGTAAAAGGAATATGGTAGGGTTAAGCATAAGACTTAAGGAAACACTTGAGACCTCAAAACACTCTTAGTGATGCTTCCACTATCTGGATAACAAAACGTCAACACAAAAACCGTCCACCCAGCATATATGTGTACTGGCTTCTTCCTCAAAAGACTGCCTGGCCCTCTGGAATCTCAGTGTCTAAGGACTGCAGCTGCAAAGAGAACCCTGAGACTCAGAAAGCCAGGTATGTTGCAGAGTGTGCTGAGGGCCAGAAAGAATGGCTGTGCCATGAGTGACTTACAGTTTCTGCATCCCTACTGGATGTCTATCTAAATGACCTGCTGTAACCTAAGCAGAAATTATTGAGCTTGAAGTAGAAATCTTTGGATGAATGTTTGTGACCCATTCTGCGTGGCAGGTCAGACTATCTGGTCAGAAATTTCCATTCTCTTGTGACCAGGGCCATGATGGGAGAGCTGGAAACTGAGAACTGGCAGCCAAAGAATAGCAGGATACTCTAAGAGTTTCCCTTTACCTGGGATCACAGTACCATTAAATCAGTACTTTAGGAGGGAAAATACTAGTATCTCCTACCCAGGTTTTTCTCAAGCAGTAATGAAATATTAAGGAGATATACAGTACGACTGATATGAACTGTATGTAGTAAACAAATAATTAAAATAAACTATTACAAAATGCAGTGTGGGAACTCCTATACCATATGTGCTATTATTTGTTAATTATATTCACACAGCAATATATGTCTGCAGCACTCTGTAGTCTAAAGCCCCTTCCTTTCTAACTGTTAATTAGGGCTCACAATCAATGCTGAGAAGTGAAGGAAATGTGTTAGTTTCTCTCCTACATTTGCAAAGCCCCAGAAGCAAAATCCAAACAGACACAAAGTCACAAGTGAAGCAATAGCACTGCCAGAAACAGAGTTCAAAACTCCTGGATTCCAGGTTCTTCCCACTGAGAGAGAAAGATTGGTAACGAATCCCCAAAGAGGTGGGAATGAGCAAGAAAATCACAGTGTGCAGTCTGCCTGTTTTCACATGTGAGTTAATTAGATTGTAGCCTAATTAAAATACAGCCTTTGCATCTTGCCTTTCCTCCTTGGTGATGTTGGCAGCAGGTATAGGTTGTCCGTACATTTAAGCTGCAAGCTAGAAAACACCTTCTAACCATGAAAAGAGTGGAACAGCCCTGTGATGGGGCTGGAAACCAGCAACTGAAGTATGGCACCAACTCTGCTCATGGAAAGCACCACTGGATATAGATGCCTGCAAGGTAGAGGGAGAGAAATGAAAATACAAAAGGCTTACTCCACCTAGTGCTTCCTTCCACAGTAAACTTGGTTTTAGAAGCACCAAACACTTGACATTCCAAATGAAATCGCAGGTCTTTGGCACCTTTAGAAAGCAGCTCCTGTACCTCAGCAATTAAAACTAATTTGAGTCCAATATACTTTTAGTGTCCGGAGTTAAAGACTACTTCTGCCAAAAACTGCAAAAACAAGTGGCATCTCTGTATCACAGGGAAGCTGGAAAAATGAGGGCATTACTTGTGTTATGGTATCTCTCCTCCCTTTCTGCCAGGAACACAGTAGGAACGGAATGGACACAATTTACAAAAGGCCATGGAAACGAAACATTAACCAAAGATTTGACCTTCATACACAACACCTCACAAATGGGACAACTCTAACACAATTTTAAAAAGGGGTTTTGTCTAAAGATCGTTTATAGAGGGCAATGGTCTGGTCAATGAAAAAGCTGGATTTAACTTGCTTAATCTCCAGTGAGGTCTGATTGAGAACTCACTGGAAAAATACAACTGTTGCCACCATTGTGCAGAGGCAAATGTGTCACAAGCACAGGCTGTCACTGCAGGGGGAAGGAGGTGATTAGGTACCAAGAGAAGAGGACAGCCCAGCTTCTTAGGGAAACCTGCAGTTCATATCAGGATGAGCAGTTACAAAATACCAAAATCTCCCGCTACAGAATCATTCATGACTGATCGGAGGTGAAATGCTAAAACCAATACAAATGTACAGAAGGGCTGAGCCACAGAGCCAGAGCACTCAGGAGATGGGCAAGGCAGCTTTACCCAGGCTGCATGGCCAATATAATTTCCCACCAAGACACAACCTCCAGATGCAGACAGTGCTGGAAAGAGTAAGTATTTGGCAGATGAAAAGGCAAAAAACATCTGTAAGCACCAAACGTAAAAGCCATTACTCTCATCCATAATAATTCACAGATGTATTTTTCCCTATCTTGTCTGCAAACGTTTCAAACCAGCATTGCATTTCCTACTGAACTATGATGCCCACAGAAGGGAACTCAAGTGAGATGATACAGTATGTCAAAAATGAAGTTTTCTAAAGCATTTGAGATAATGGAAGAGAAAAGAAGGGATCAGAAGCAGTAATAAATGAACACAGAGACAGGATTCCACTGCACATCAGAATTCTGAGCTTCAAAACCACATGGAAATCCCAGCTTTCCTAATTGCAACAGGAAACAGCTCAGGAGATAGACTGAAGGCTCTGAGGCAATTAATTTTTCAACAAGACAACGCAGTCTGCAGTCAGACCATCACATTGCAGTCACGCTGCCTGTTACTCAATGTGGAAAAAGATCAAAGAGCAAACACGAAATAATCTAGCGAGGCACAGTGAGAAAGCTGAGCCACATCACTGTTCTATCACAGCTCACCTCCCTGAACGGAGGGAGTGTCTGCACTTACACAGAGAATAAGCTGGTAATGCCTAGCAGCCCCTTTTCCTGCTTGCTGCAGTGCTTTGCATACACTTGCTCAGAGCTCCCCCACAATCTAGCCCAGCAGCACTGCCGGGCAACTCCAGCACAGCAAAGTCAAAAGAGCCAGAACTCCGAAAAGGTCTGGCTGGAAAAAAAAAAAAAAAAAAAGCCAAGGAAGTACATGTCTTTATGAACTTTGATCAGCTTCCATTCTATTTTCTCTTCTTTTTTGCTGTCACCTATCATTAAAATTAAATAACATGTGGTCTTGTTGCCATGTTAACCAAGAGACACTGCAGACTCAGAAAGTCAAACTCAGTCCACCCTGCTAGATACTTGCTCCTGGTACACTTAGAAAAGCACAGTATAAGAAGGAGAGAACAGGGGACGCATTCCTGGAAATGTAAATGCCTGATCCTATGCAACTCATAAAAGAAATATTGCAAAGGGGTTGGAGACACATTACATTCGTAATTAGGATGATTCTACGCAGCTGTATCAGGAGCTACTGTTAAACAGTGTGGAAAAAACCTGATTCAGAGATCCATAAAGGATCTGGGACAGAGAACAGCAGCAGCCCAATGTAATGCCCAGCCCTCACCCACTGTCTTTACAACGAGCAGTCAATATTCCTGCAAAAGTGCCTGCTTATGTTCCACATCTGTGTTACCTCTTCCATGCCCATTTCAGTCCTGATCTCAAAAAAGTGCTGTTCATCTCTTCTTCACAAATATCACCTACCCAGTTCTGCATAGCCATGAGTCGATCATATATTTCCTTGCCTTGAGAAGTCAGGATAAGGACACTCCAAAACCCAAAGAAAAATAAAACAGTGCTGGATGCTCCTCAGATCATCAAAAACACAGGGAAGCACTGTAGCATGTACACAAAGCTTTCTGCTAGTGGGACAGCATTTTAGGAGGATTTCTGGTTTTCTTCTCTCTTCCTGATGCTTCTTTACAAATCAGGTTCTTTCCCTGCCTAGTTCTCCTCTGCTAGTAGTCTCATTGCAGCTGCAGGGAAAGACAAGCCATTTTGCTTGCATGGCTGCCTTTGCATTTCAAGCTGATTTGTATGAGACACTGCCACCCAGCACGATTTGCATACATACCAAAATGCAAGACCTGCACAAAATGAAGCAGGAAAACTATTAGTCTCTCCTCTCAGAAAAGGTTAATGGCATGGATTCTTTGCAAATGTTTACTATTAAGTGTTTTCTAAGCCTCTGAGCTATAGAATTGTACATAAAAGGGGGTTCACCCTCTTCCCCCAGTCTCACAATCCTATTTGCTTCAGATTAACATGAATGACCTCTACTTCACTTGAGCTTATTCACTGCCCACAGAGCAGGGCCTGGTTGTACTGAATTATTTCCCTGCCATCATGAAATGCTCTTCAGCTGCATAGGAGGGGACAAGGCTGCAGATGCAGGTGTTAGCTTTCTACAACATTAACTGTTCAACACCCAGGCAAGCCTCCTATTTAAACCTTACTCAGATCAGAAGGGCTGCAGAAAACCATGACATAAGTATGAGATACCTTGACTTAACACACCAGAACACTAGGCCCAAACATGTGATAAAGAAAACAGGGGTGAACTACAGCCTGGTAATTACATGTGATCACACATGGCAGGGGACAAAGCAGCCCTGCCATGAAACACTTAATCTCAGCTCCTCCTGCTGCTCCCTCCCTCTCTGTTCTCAACTGTGTCAGTTATCTAATGTGCCCCACACTTTGTCTTAAAAGTGCATCAGAGGTTCTAGGGTGGGTGCTCTTTGAAATGGCTTAATTTAAATTGACATATGAAATGTCACCTCTAAAATAAGCCAGGCCAAAGAAAGCCCTTCAGGACCTTTATGTCCCATCTCTTTTCTATCTCTTCCTTCCCCTCTCACATTACTTTAAAGAGAGCTTGCACATCATTCACCAGTCTGGCCGCCAATAAAAAAATAACTCCTACCTGAAAGGTGTCTTCAGGTGCATACTCTTAAGGGCAGGGAGGATATGCCTTCATTTCCTCAGTCCTCCAAGAATAACAGCGCAGACTGAAGTCCCTCCACAAGTCAGATCTCCTGTGTCAGACACAAACCCAAATTATTCTGGCATATAAGCACAGATCTGTGCTGAAAGAATAGCCATTGGGCAATTAAAATCTGTTTTGCTCCTTTGTTCTCCAGGCAGGCTGCCTGATTGAATGGACCCTTTTACTGGAAAACAAGTATTAGGCCCAATCTTCATCTGGCAGAAAACCACACACTGCCACCAATTTCTCTGTTACGCTGACTGAAATTTTGACCTATGGCTTACAATTACATTGAAGCTCTTAGTTCCTACCTGCACCTCCCATACTTTCAAATGGCACAATAACTCCACTCACTAATTTTTCCAGACCAAAGACTGATTTTCTCAGACCTCACTGCATCAGGCTCACATGGTCACCCTGTGCAGTACCTGGGCTGCCTGGCAAAACTTACTCTGATATGGACTTTATTGCATTGGGTTTGGGAGATTTTGTGGTGATTTGCAAACAATCAGAGAGCTCAGACACAACCCATAACTACTGTATTTAAATGTTCCATTTGTAACTACAAAACAGGATCCTGCCTAGAGAAGTAGAGACTGAAACTTAAAGTAGAGCAGATGAATATAAAGGACTGATGGCAATAACTGTCTGCTCTTACAGAGCAAGGCAATCAAACTGTTTAAATACTTTCAGCAACTGGACTGTCCCAGCAAAAATTCCACCCTCAAACTCACTAAAGAATTACACACCATTCCTTAGTCTGCACAGGCAAGAATTTGATCTTTGCATTCAGTGAATTGTGGTTGGGGTTTCGGTTTAAAAAACAAAACCATGTATTTATTGAAAATCACATGTGATTCTTGTGATGAGCAAATCCATTTAAAATAGTCAGAACCTGGAGGAACCAGCCAGGACACAGAGGGTGTTGTGGGGGCCCCTCTTCAGCACACACATACTGATGTTCAGTACGTGTGTGTTGTAAAAAAGCCACAGTCTGACAAAGACTGGCAGGATAATCAGAATAAGGCATATTCCTCTCAGACAGACCAGAGTAGCCAGCTTTTTTTAGCTTAACCAAACAGAGGCTAAGAAGGGTCATCGCTGCAATCCAGAAATAACTAAAAAGTAAACACCAAGGAAGAAAAATAGCTAGTCAAGATCAGTGACTAGAAATAATCAAAGAGGAATAAAAAGGCATGAGCAAACTTGAACTGGAAATTATAATGTTTCTGTGACCAGAAGGATGAGGCAGAAGCTACTTTTCAATAGAAATAATGGGGGAAAGAAACGTTGAACCATCTTTGGGCATTAATAAAGCAGACTCTAGGACATGATACCTACTGTCAGTAGAGCTGAATCTGACACTCTTGAGCTTCCTCACTCCTGTGTGTGCTCAGCTCAAACTCAAAGAAGAAAAAAAAATAAAATGGAAGAAAAAAAATAAAATGGAAGAAAACGTCAACATTCACAACTATTGTCAAAAATCTCTCACGAAAACTAGGCCACAAAAACAGCAAGCTGTGCAAGGAGGAATGCCCAGGGGAGAAAAATCGCATCTTGCTGAATTCAGGCTCTCTGATAATTTGTGCCTCTCCATCACAGACATTTGCCTCATGCTTGTTCTCCAGCATGAATTGCCAATTTGAATTTTCCTGTAGCATACTTACAGCGAGGCATCAGGAAACTCTCTAAATGCTGGAAGTAATTACCCAAAAGCACTCTCCTGCAGTGAAACAAACTGTTAGAGAGGAAAAGGAGAAGGATTATATGCTGGGTTGTATGATGGTTTATGTAGATATTCTCATTAAGGTGATATTCATTAAGGAAATGGTAACCTCTGCCTGTAGATCCTTCCTTCTCCGAAAGCCTAGCAGTGCCACTGAATGACTATTTATCATGGTCAAAACACTAGTGAACTCGTCCTTGTCTCCTTGCAGGCATGGAGCTTGTGATGATCTCCTTACTTGCCTCATAAGGTAGAAATATAAAGGAAAAATTAAAGGGGAGAAGGAAATCAAGAAAATTGATAAAACATGTTTGGGGAGAGACACAGCTGAAAGGAACCCACTGTTCAAAGCACACTGGTCAGCAATGGAAGAGATCCTCTAAAGGCATTTGTAGCTCACTTCTTCTACTATCACCCCAAGAAGGAATAAATCAATATATTAGTTTCCAGGCACTTGCTGAGGGACCATAACACCATGGACAATCAGGAAGGATGCCTGCTCCTGTCCTCCACCACTTGTAACCCCTATTACTAGCAGCATACCCATAAAGGCAATGAAAGGACAGAGAGCTGAAACAATGCAGAGCACAGTATCTAAGCCTCAGTTGCTATCAGCCCAGTGTCAGGTAAGTACAACATATCCACTTTCCAGCTGAGAGGGTTTCAAGGAAGTACCAAAGGAAAACAAGCACGATGGTTACCTCATATCTGGTGAGTTTTTCAGACTCACCACAGTGATGTGAGCAGAGAATATCAGCAAGTGGGTTTCTTGCGACTGACAGAGCAAAAGTACTGGTAAACAGCTTGATCAAGTCATAGGTGAGACTGCTTAGAAGATGCTGCCTGGCGAAGAGCTCTAAAGACTGAACTCTCACTTGGAGGAGGTAGTTTTCACAGGGCAGAAGCCAAAAGCCTATCCAAACGTATGATCAACATCCATTTTACCTCAATCATAGGAGCAAGCTTAATTAACATAATTGATATAGTAGAAAGTTGTACAAAATAACTTACTGGACTCCTTTATCTTCTTTCCCACTGAAAAAAACCGTTTTTTGTCAGTCCCATCAGAAAGCCTTTGATCTCAACGCTGATCTAAGCAAAAAAACAAGAAAAAATCTGTAGGAGAAGGGATTACAGGAAACCTTGCCTCTGATGAGTCACAGCTGTGCTAATTACCAAAAACAGCCTTGTCCTTAATAGGTCACAGCTATAGCTGATAAGGATGAGTGTGATAAAAGGGTGGGTTAGCTGGTCAGGGAAGATTTCTAGGAATAGAAGGAACTGAGAAAGCTGAAGGAATGATCCAGAGGTAGACTAAAAGGTGAGGAAAGAGGGACCAAATGAAGACTGGCCAAATGGAAGAGAGAATCGATGCTGTGAGGTCAGTCTGAATCTGTAGTCAAAGACTGCAAGGGAAGCCTACAGTGTGAGCTTGCTATATTCAGAGTCATTAAGGCGTTAGAGTCTGTAAGCTAAGTTGTGAAGAAGAATAAACTAGGCCCCTTCTCATGTTGTTGAACAAGAGTGTGTGTCTCATCTTGATTCTATCTCTAACATGAGGTTTGCTGTAACAGAAGTCAAAGAAAAAAATGAAAGAGAGAAGTGGCCGAAACTTTACCTCTACACTGATTCATAGATGGTAGCCAATGCTCTGTGGGGATGGCTGGAAAGGTGGAAAGAGGCTAACTGGCAGCATAGAGGGAAACCAATCTGGGCTGCTGAAGAGTGGAAAGACATTGCCACCCGGGTAGGGAGACTACCTGTGAAAGTCTGCCATGTAGATGCCCATGTCCCCAAGAGTAGAGCTGATGAGGAGCACTGAAACAACAAGCAGGTAGATCAGGCTGCACAGATAGAGGTGTCAAAAATAGACTTAGATTGGCAATACAAGGGCGAGTTGTTTCTAGCCCAATGGGCCCATGATGCCTCAGGCCACCAGGGCAGAGATGCCACCTATAAGTGGGCACGAGACCGAGGGGTGGATCTAACCATGGACAGTATTTCTCAGGTTATCCATGACTGTGAGACATGCGCTGCCATCAAACAGGCCAAGCGGGTGAAGCCCCTCTGGTATGGGGGGCGATGGGCCAAATACAAGTATGGGGAGGCCTGGCAGATTGATTACATCACACTGCCCCAGACACGCCAAGGCAAGCGCTACGTGCTCACCATGGTAGAAGCCACCACGAAATGGTTGGAGACCTACCCTGTGCCTCATGCCACTGCCCAGAACACCATCCTGGGTCTAGAAAAACAAGTCCTTTGGAGGCATAGCACCCCTGAGAGAATTGAGTCAGACAATGGGACTCATTTCAAGAATAGAGTTGTCAACACCTGGGCTAGGGAACACGGCATTGAGTGGATGTACCATGTCCTCTACCATGCACCAGCTGCAGGGAAAGTGGAGAGGTAAAATGGACTGTTAAAAACCACCTTGAAGGCATTGGGTGGGTGATCTTTCAAAAACTGGGAGCAGTATCTAGCAAAGGCCACCTGGTTAGTTAACACCTGAGGCTCCATTAACCAAGCAGGCCCTGCCTCCATATAGTAGATAGAGACAAAGTCCCAGTGGTCAGAGCTTTGTTAGGGAAGACAGTTTGGATCAATTCTGCTTCAAGTACAAACCCATTCGTGGAGTTGTCTTTGCTCAGGGACCAGGTTGCACATGATGGATAATGCAGAAAGATGGAACAACACAATGAGTACCTCAGGGAGATCTGATTGTTGGGTGAGAACCATATGCAAAATATCACTGTTTGCTGAGTGTTACTGCTATTATCTGTACATAGTTGTATACCATATATATGTGTATGCATAAGGGGTGTGTGTGATGAGTTAGAATATATATATTTTTGTTTTGGTAATGAGTTGACAATATGGGGATAAGGGGTGCAATGTCCTGGGGTGACTTTGTCATGTTGAATTGTATTTCCATTTGTCTGTTTAGCCCAGAAGTAAGTTTTGTACCTTTAAGGCTGGAAGGAGGGAGAAGGAGAAGCGCTGGAATGTGGAATGTCTGAGGCGTCTTGTCCTCCTGGACTGTGTCGCAGTGGTGGACAGCAGAGAGAGCTCTCCTTTGCTTTTAGTTAATTTCTGACTAACTGAAGCAGAAAAGTTCCCCGGAAAGTTTATTTTTCCTTTTTTCTTGGAATTATTTGAACCTGCTCTGGACTGGGGACCCGGGGGAGCACCAGGAGCTTGCACCTGTGGCCCACTGGGGCCTGGCCTCCAGTGCCAGAAGGACTGAGAACAGACTGAACCGAGTTACCCCCCACAGAAGAGAGACTTTCTGAATTTGTTATCTCTTCAGAGCAGTGATAGGT